TTCACTTTACCATCTTTGATGTCATGCAGATACTTTAGGCAACTTCGTTTCTAGTGCCCTTTGTCACTGCAATAAAAGCAGTCAGTTGATTTTGGATCAGAAACATGCGGAATCACAACATCGGGCTTGGCCTTTAGGCCACTGTTAAATGACCCAACTTGAGTCTTGCCCTTCCAATTTTTCTTATGAGGACCTTTCATCTTTTCCCCTTTCCCTGTCCAATAGCCAAGACATGGGCACTAGTAGGAGTAGAGGCTATACCTTCCTTTGATGTCTGCAACAAGTTGTGCAATTGGGGCAATATTTGCTTGGTGTTGTTCAAATGGTAAGTTAGGATGAACTGACCATAACTATCCGGCAATGAGTTCAAGACCATTTATATGACCAATTCCTCATCAAGTTGCACATTGAGCTTGACTAAACGCTCTATGTAGCGTTGCATTCTTTGCACATGACTAAAAACCGACCCCCTTCCTTCATCCTGCAAGCCATGAGTGATTTGACTACTTCAAACTTTTCTTGATGAGCTCATTTATGGTACTTTTTCCATAAGGTCCTTGTTCATCTCAAAGGGCCAGTAGTCCTCATAGTACCTTTGCAGTTCTAGGGACATAGTTGCGACCATGATGCATGCTACTTTGGTTGCATCATCATAGTGCTTCATGAAGGCAACATATTCTTCAGGAGTGGTTTTGGTTTCATCAATCTCTTTGAGCTCCTTTTCAAGGACATACTCTTTGTCCTCAAAACAAAGCGCCATCTTGATATTTCATATCCAATCGTTATAGTTAGATACATCTATAATGACTTTGGAGCAAATGTTGAGCAAAGAGTTGTGGTTGGAGGAAGATGAAGCATAAGTGTTTCCTTGAGTAGACATCTGAAAAGAAAGATAGTTTTAGTTAGATTTCAAGATACCTCAATATAATAACCTAAAGATACAATATTAAGGTTAGGATCCAACTATGAGAATTCACAACTTAGAAATGGGATGTCGAGATCCAAGTGTGAATTTCATAAAGATAAGTGAATGACGATTCACTAATTCCACCAAAAGATGAAACAAATAAAGTGAAATTCCTAATTCTTTTGAGATATAATGAAACTATATAATGACATGTTTTAATCTCGGATTATGCTCTTTTATTTGTAACTGGGATACCAATGATCACAAACAATATGTAAATAACCATGTAAATGTACTTGGTAACCTCATTGTCTTTATCGTTATCTATTGATGTGCCGGTAAACTACACACGCTCCATCAAAAATGATAATCATGAGATACCCATTACGACTCTTTATTAGTCCTAATTAGTGTGCCAGTTAACCACACACGCTCCATTAATGACTTATAAAGCCTAATGTGCAATTTCATGGGTTATCATACTTTTCACATTTTTCTTAAAGTAACTAGAGTTGAGATTTTATAAAATAACGTTCTAGTACTTCATTAATAAGTTTATACTTTTAATGAGATTAAGTTGTCCTATCAAATCCGTTCTGCTAATATTCCTCCACTAATCAAGGAAACGGTGGGTAAGAGTGGACACTCATTCAACTACCATTTTATAGGCAGTTTCCTTATATCCCCTTATAGACTAGCTTCGTGAATGAGGCATACTAGCGATTTGACCGACCAATTCTTATACATATAACATTTAACTTTTAATTATAATATATATATATATATATATATATATATATATATATATATATATATATATATATATATATATATATATATATATATATATAAGGTATGTTTTAAACTCTTAAAACTGTAGGGTTTATATAAACTTTCGAAAATTAAACGGTTAATTTTAAATTTAAAACAAACCAAAAAAACTAGATTTAATAATTATCTATTAATTAACTTCTAATTAATTTATTAAATCTTGTGAGGATTATCTAATCAAATTAAACAATTAATTTAATCATAATCCTTAACCCTTCTAGATTTCGAAAACTAGGGTATAGGATAATTTCCTTATTTTTCTCAATTATCCAATAAGGCAACAATTATCCAAAACAAGAACCTGAGAAATATGAGGCATTTTCAAAACCAAGGGAAGGAGGCTAAGGTTTTTCAAAACCCTAACCTTAATTTCGATTAGGGTTCATGGAGGCTAGGGTTTTTCGAAAAACCCCCTGAACCAAAAACCCTAAAAACGAAAGAATGGCCTTTTAGGGTTTAATAGCTATAAACTCTAATTTGCAATTCAACTATTATAACAATTCAATTTAAAACAAAACCAATGGCTTTGATATCACTGATAGATTTTGGGTAAAACAAATAAAATAGAAAAATATCCTAAGCTCACATGCAACCTACTTTGGATCTATGTTTTAACTATTGAACATATAACTTTGAATTGCAAAACAAGAACCCTAAGAGAGGAGGGTATTTTTGAAATACAAATGCAATGCCTCTAATGGAATCACACCCAAGAGCTAGCAAGAAGGAAACTTATGAGGAGAGATGCTAGGGTATGCAATTTTCGTCCTAGGGTTTCTTCAAAGAAAGGAGTGGCCGATTTTGGGAGCTAGAGGCCTCATTATATAGCTGAGGTGGCTAGGGTTTAAGGAAAACCCTAATGTTCATTTGCTTAGGGTCTAAGCTTATCTAAAGGCCTTATCCAAGCCCCTTGGACGAAATCATTAGGGTTTCCCCTATAGATTTCATCCACCCCCTTCCAAGGAGGTTCTGGAACCTTCCACTTAATTATTAGATAATTACAAACTAGTCCCTACACTTTATAATTAATACAATTAACCCCAAACTCAATTCTAATTATTTTTGTGCTAACTTCTAATTAAACATTATGAATTCTTATTAATATAGTAATCTTTTAACATATTAATAAATTATTTATATTAATTTATTAATCTTATAATAAATTAATATCTCTCCTTTCATAATTTCCTTGTCTAGTTGCTAGGTTTGAGGGCAACCCAAAAGGACTGTCCTGCTATCAATTCAAGTACATATCAATTATAGTTATGAGCTTAGACACCTAATCCAACATTTATATAGCTGAAGGAAACTTGGGGCCAAAGTTTGGGTTTTTGAGATAAGGCCTAGATTAATTAATATAATAAACAACCTCTCTTATCTACTTATCCAAGCCCTCTTAGATGAGAATTCTAGGCTATTCATATCCAATTTTCATTCACCCCCATACCATTGGATTCTAGAGCCTTCCTGCTTTAACTTTCAATAAATAACCAAACAATCTCTGCACTTTTAATTAATCAAATTAACCCCAAAATTAATTCTAATTAATTTATGATTTATTATTAATTAAATAATACTCTTTTCAAAATAATATACTATTTTCATAACATATTAATAAATTCATTTATTGCTATTTATTAATCATGTAATAAATCAGTATATCAGTCTCCCTCTCTAAAACTCATCATTTTCAATTACTAGGTTTGAGGGCAACCCAAATTTTTTTTGGTAATTATTGGTTTAGACACCTAATCCAACATATAAATGGATCCCCATCCTTACACCCAATGGGTACTAGGATCCCCAGTGGGGAATTGAGGAATTCTTTTTCTATTTTAATATAAAAACTTTTATTTATGTAAAAAATCTTAATTTAAATTTTACCAACATTAGTTTAAAGATTTTACAAAACATAAAAACATTAATAGATTGTATAAAAACTATAAACATTTTTTCTATCCAAATTTAAATACATGCGTGGAAAATCAATTAAAATATTATCAAAGTGATATTTAGGGAAAAAATTGATAAATCAATGAGAAAAATATTTATATACGGGGTTAAATTAGACGAATAAGGAAAACTTTAATTCTAACCAAGTAATTACTAATGAGTTGGGTTACTTGGATCAAATTTTAGGTATTATAAATTTTACTGTTTTTTTTTTTTATATATATATATATTAATATGTACCAAGCCAGCTACAATGTCAAGGACTAGAGGTTTCACTATCATTATCCCCATCCCCATTTGTTTTTTATTTGGAGATTCTCCATCCCGGTCAACATGGGGATTCCCGATCAAATGAGTGCAAGTTTCGGGTTTCCCATCAGGTATGATTTTTTTTCCATCCTTATTTAGGTACTCAAATGGGTTGACGGGTTCATACCTTAGGACACCCCAATTATCGAATATTTGAAATGTGTAAAATATTAATATGAAAATTCAACGGATTCGATATTTTCATTTATATTCAAGTTTTGATGTATTAAATTGTTTTTGTGAAGTCCATGATTACACTAAAATAGAGGAGTATTGTTAGTGATTTTAGTGTCACCGGTTCATTTTATATAATAAGATTTATACATGTTTCAAAGGGGACTATATCTTAGTTTCAATACAACGTAGGAGGTGCGAAGTGCACCCTTGTATTAACCTAGATTGATCCCGATATAAACAAACTAGCGGGGGTTAGGGGGGTCGCCCTTCTTATGGGGTTCTAAGGAGCAACATCACTTGACGATTGGTCAGCGGGTTATAAAAAATGGAAAATTACTAGACCTTAATAGAAACTATTGAATGTTGAGAATTTCAATGTAAATCCGTATTGTTATCCAACCCTTAACTATGTTATCCAAAAGTGGTTAGAATACTAAGAGATAGTAGATTTTCTCTCTAGTTCTTTTGAAACAAAAGAAATTTACATACCATATTCTCTCCTATTATTAATCAAATTTCCGTGCCTAGAATATTGATTGTTCAATTGAGGATAATCCAATGTCGAATTTCTCGTAACCCATATATAAGAAAGAAATATTGATTCGTAGTGATTATTAAATATTTGTACTCTTTTTCTAACAATAGTTTTATGAGAACAAAAAAAAAAATAGATGATTGTTATATGATAAAATTAATAAAATGAAATAATTTGTGAAATTGATTTTTCCAAATATAGAAACAGAAGACTGGATCATCAATTACCACTTTTTCCTGATTTGATTTGATGTCATTTTAGGGTTATACTTATACCCACTATCTATGTGTTTTTTTAGTTTTATGAAAATCATTACATTCTTGCAATATAATAATGGTGACAATTCTGATTAAAGTGCTCTTATTGCATGAAAAATGAATCACAGTAAAAAAATTTGTTTCTTTTCTACCCGTAAGTTTTCCATTAACATCACACTAGTACACACATTAAAGATTCATTACCCAACTCCGAAAACATGTGAAATGAACTGACAAACAGCTCATCTCATCCCCAATTCAAAAGAAAGTAGCTCAAAAGTTGCAAACGGGTGTTCATTCACAACAGCCGCCTATGGAATCCGGAGCAAAAGCTGCTTTCCGAGGAGTGTAGTTGAAGTTGAGCTGTTGAACTACTTCTTCGGTGCTTGAATCTATAATCGCTTTCAGGTTAGTTCAACCACATCCATCTGGGGTTTTTACTTTTTAGCTCCTTCAATTTCGCCGGATATCTTCACGAGAATTCGAGAATTGATTATTTTAAGTCTCGAAGAATCTCATTTTGACGTATGTCGTTCTAAAATATTATTAATCAATGCATTGGGATCTGATTTTTGAAATTCAAACAAAGCAGGTTTCGTTTAAACAATAATGGTGTCGGTTGCTTATCTTTTACTATTGTGATTTTTGCTCGAAATGTTTTTAACACATCAAGAAAACTGCTCTCTGGAAAGAACAAATTTGCACAAATTACGGATATGTAAAGGAAAAGAACAATTCATTTTTGTAAGATGCACACTTTTTCTTTCTTTTCTGTTTTACACTATTACAAGAACACTATGATTTGTTTCTAACAAAAGGCAAGTATAATTCCTTAAAAAAAGTATCAACACGGCCATTCAAGCAGTATACAGTGTCGCTCTTCTGTATTCATCCTAACAGTTTATTTTTTGCTCTAAATTGTAACCAGTCTGAGCTAGAAGTCAAGTTCTTTAACCATTAATGGAGTTTTTCGCATCACTGTTTCTATTTCTGGCATCGATTTCTGCAATTTCGGCACACTATGTTCAAGAGTCGGAACTTGTAATTAATGGAACTTTACCAATATCACATACGGACGCAAATTACATTTGTGCTACTATCGATTGGTGGCCTGATGACAAGTGTAACTACAATCATTGCCCATGGGGGTCGTCATCTGCTCTAAATCTGGTAAACACATCAAACACTTTTCCATATATGTAACACAAAATAAAATGAAAATAATTTTTCTTTTTGGTGGTATCATATTTTCAGGATTTATCTAATTCGATTCTTACAAAAGCAGTCCAAGGTTTGTTTTTTTTTAGTCCAATCGCAAGAACTTGTTCTTGATTTTTGCTCACTTGTTTTATTGATTCGACTTAAACAGCATTTGAACATCTAAGAATCCGAGTAGGAGGTTCGTTACAAGATCAAGTGGTGTATGATGTGGGAGGTGTCTCGGGTCCTTGTCATCCCTTTATAAAATTGAAATGGGGATTATTCGGATTCTCTAAAGGCTGTCTTCGTATGGATAGATGGGATGAATTGAATCAATTTTTTGTCAAGACAAGGTTATATTTTCTTTTATTTATTAAAAAAAAAAAAAACGTGTGCTTCATTAATTTGATAGAAACTGAACTTATTGAATGTATTTGTAGATCACTTGTCACATTTGGCTTAAATGCACTTCGGGGAAGACACCAGATTAGGAAGGGGGTTTGGGGAGGAAGTTGGAATTCCAGCAATGCCCATGATTTTATAAAGTATACTGTTTCCAAGGGTTATCAAATCCATTCATGGGAATTTGGTACTGCATTCATCTCAAATCCTTAAATTTGTTTTTACTTATATATATATAATATGATATGACACATTCATATCCTTTATTGGTGTAGGAAATGAGTTGAGTGGTAATGGTGTTGGTGCCATGGTCCATGCTGAACAGTATGGGAACGATTTAATTGAACTCAGGGGTATAATTGACAATCTATACAGACGAATCCAGCCAAAACCACTACTTGTAGCCCCTGGAGGGTTCTTTGATAAAGAATGGTTTGCTAAGCTTCTTAAGGAAACAGGTTCACAAATTGTCAATGTCATGACACTCCATATGTATAACCTTGGGCCAGGTAATTTCAATTTACATCTTTACCCCTTTGTCATGTGTATGACATTGACAGACTTATAATGCCAATGAGTTTCATTTATATGATTATATCCAGGAATTGATCCGAATCTAGTGAAAAAGATTTTGGATCCCCGTTTTTTGAGTAGGGCATCTATCACTTTCAGTGATCTCCATCAAATCATTAAAACCAATGGCCCGTGGGCTTCTTCTTGGATCGGGGAATCTGGTGGAGCATACAACAGTGGTGGTCTTCATGTTTCAGACACCTTTGTAAATAGCTTCTGGTAAATAAATACATATAAAAATGAGGGCATATTTGTAAAATCCCAGATCAAAAATTACTAAAATATTTTATAGGTACTTGGATCAACTTGCAATGGCAGCTAAGTTCCACACACAAGTATATTGTCGCCAAAGTTTAATTGGTGGAAATTATGGTCTTCTTAGTAAAACAACATTTGCTCCTAATCCTGATTATTACAGGTGATTTTAGTTTCATTTAAAAAAAAAAAACATGTTTATGTTATAAAAATTGGTTATACAGGAGTAACATGTTTTATTAAATCATGCAGTGCACTTCTATGGCATCGGCTTATGGGGACAGGGGTTCTTTCTGTAGAAAGGAGAAGTGTTGGGCCACATTTGCGCACTTATGCCCATTGTTCTAAAGGGAAAGTAAGTTATCTATTTATTTATTTTATTCTCTACTTATTTCAGTTGCTACGAGCTAAAATGATCTTGTGAAAATGGTGTGGAAAAGACAGAAATACCCTTGATATCATATTTTGTTGTTGTAGGCGGGCATAACATTGCTTTTGATTAACCTAAGCAACCAAACAGAATTCAGACTCGCTATTCACAACATCTTGAACACGGATTTGCTTACACCAAAAGTCACAAAAGTGTCTTTCTTTCATAAACTAAAGTCAACCTTTTCATGGATCGGGTCAAAGTCAACCTATGCAAAACTTACACGAGAGGAATACCGATTGACGCCACAAGGAGGTGATATTAGAAGTAAAACAATGCTTTTGAATGGGATTCCATTAATGGTCACAAAAACGGGAGAAATTCCACAAATGAAACCTGCTTTTGTGAATGTGAATTCTCCGGTTTCCATTGCTCCTTTGAACATCAAGTTCATTCAGTTTCCCAATTTCCAGGCGTCAGGTTGTAAATGACGCATTATGGGTTGTACCTTGACACGCTTGGTGATGTGATTGTGATGTTTGTAATGTATCCTCATCCTGTATATGTATAATGAAAAATATTGTTCAAGTGTAGAAGAGCTTTGCAATTGCGAAAGAGCATTGTGAAGTTGATAAGTTCCACTTTGAACCACTTTGTTTAAACTGTTGTGGTCCAAGTGTCCCCTTTGGGTTAAAAAAATGACACTTGGCCACCCTCAGCTATGAAAATTTCATAATTAATAGTACGTTACAATATACAACATTATGGTTAGCTTGGAGTGTGATGAAAGTGTGTAGATGTTTTCTATTTTTATAAATAAATATTTAGTTAAGATATGAAATATATATCATATTTTTGGCTAAATGTTGTATTTAATACAAAATAACCAAAAAGCTATTGGTAACTTTGACATAAATTAAATAAACAAGGATATTTTGTTATACACTACCCAATTGTGTAATTAGCCCTAAAAGTTCTATCAATTTATCTATAAGTTAGTAAAAGTATCTTCAATTTATACTTTATTTTTAAAATATAAAATAAAGTTTATAGTAACAATTTTTAAACCCACTCTAAATTCTGTTTTACATCTTAAAAATAAAGCGTAAAAATAAATTGCATGGAAGAGGCCAAGATGGTGTAATTTATACTTTAAATTTCGAGAGTAAATATTTGTTTCTTTATTTTTAGGGTGTAAAATAAAATTGGATTCAAACATTAATTTTATTTTACCTTTTATGATGACAAAAATAAAATAGGAGATTTTCTTTATACACACCAACCTACTCATCACACCAATCTAACATCTAACCTATTTTTAATAATAGTCTATTTTGACCATGGATCATTTAAAAAAAAAAAAGTTAAATATTAAAAATTGTGTACTCCTATTTACTCACCCCTCTTTTTGTTAATATTTTTTTCTTTTATGATTTCTTTAATTTTTTTAAATACCTCGTCTCTTTTATTTATTTATTTTTATATGATTTTTTACCTACAGAAAAAAATAAAATAACTCATAGGTTCTTTTTTTCTCTTTTTTTCTTTTATGATTTCTTTGTTAAACCACAGTAGGGCCCTTTTTTTGAGACAAAAATAAAAAGATATAAAAAAAAACTTAATTTCATATAATTTGATTAAAATTTTATACGGTTTCAAACCCTGAAATTATAATGATAATAACTTTTATATATGTTTAGTTTTTTGATATAAAAAATAACCTATTAAAATTAAAACGATGATAATGACTATAAATTCATATTTGTATAGTAATTTAAAAATTAAAATTTAGTATGCATGTTTTAACAAAGAAATCATAAAAGAAAAAAAAGAATAAAAAAGAACCCTATGAGTTATTTTTTTTTCTTTACATAAAAAATCATAAAAAAAAATAATAAACAAAAGAGAAGAGGTGTCTATCTTAAAATATAAAATAGAAAATAAGGTATCTATCTTAAAAATTCAAAATAGCCATAAAAGAAAAAAAAACGAACAAAAAATAAGCATGAGAAAATTGGAGTACACAATTTTCAATATTTAACTTTTTTTTAAATAGGCAATTATGTGAAATAATAACTTAAAAAATAAGTTTAATGCTATATATATATATAAAAGAAAAAGAAAAAAAGTTACTTTTTCAAAAAACAATGAAATGATTAGTAGTAATGTCAATATAGTAATTATATGATAATAATTATCATCATTCATTTAAAAAGTAACCTATTAATATAGATTGGTATTGTAGATTGGTGTGTCCAAAATAGGAACCATAAAATAGACTGGAAATGCTCAAAAAAATCTATTTTGTAGTACAAATCGAAAACATAATTAGTATCAAATTAAAATACACCGAGAAAATGAAATTAGTTTCTCTAACATAAATGGCAAATAAATACAGGCAAGGCAATAAACGCTCTTTCTCTCAGGAAAAAAAATGGCAACAGTCGTGTCACCGCCGTCTCGAACGACAGTTCTATCCCTTTTCCGGTCATTTCTGCGATCAGCCCGTCAGTTCCCTGACTACAACATCAAGGAGTACACCAAGCGCCGTACCATCGACGCTTTTCACAGCAACAAAACTCTGTCTAACCCTTCCTCGGTCGCTGCTGCTTTCGCTGACGGAAATTATCAGCTACAGGTTGCCAAAAGACAAGCTCTTGTGTACTCATTCTACTCTCCCAAACTCAAAAGCATCATGGACATCAAGCATTGATCGATTTGAATGGTATTTATATGTGTTGTTAGGGTTTCAAAACCACTTTACGTTACATAGAGTTATAACTGAATTCAATAATGGCTAATCCATAGTTTCTGAAGCTTGAATTTTATGGCAAGAAGTTGCTTATAAATCATGGATATATATGATGTTCAATTCGCCCAGGAAATCTATGTTTTCCCTTTCTTTTCTACATTGTGATTTTTTTTCCTGAATGAATTAACTACATGTGTTTAATGATTTTTTCATTTAATTATGAAAAAACATCATAAATGGTCCCTGTGGTTACCCAAAATCTGAAGTTTAGTCCTCGTGGTTTAAAAACCTCATAGATGGTCCCTGTGTTTTCAAAACTTTTGACAATGGGTCCTTATTACTAACTCCGTTAACTTTTTTCCGTTAATTGAAGGGCATTTTCGTCATTTCATACCATAGGGACCATTTATGATGTTTTCAGCTATTTTTTTAAAAAAAAGGAAAAAATAAATATAATTATTCTCTCTCTCTCTCTCTCTCTCTCGTGTTCTTGATGAAAGGAAACTCGTGTTCGTGATGTAAATCAACCACACATATGATTTGTCCTACTCACTATCTTGTTTCAGAGGAAAGATCACCACGGAAGCATCAAATCAGCTCAAATGTTTTACATGTCCTTGTGACCCAAGAAAAACCTATATAACAAAATCATTAAAAAAAAGGCTCATCTATTCTACTATCTATACTCAAACTCATATACCCTCACCTAGATAACGAAATCAACATAGACAAAGAATCCGAGCTGTAATCTAAACTCCATGTCTCAACATATTTTGATTTCATCTTCTCCAACAAGAAAACCTCCATTCCTTGACTTTCAGATTCATCTCCTTCATTATCTATCTCCCCTCTTAACGCCTTCACAATTTGTCTCATCGCAGGTCGTAGTTTTGTATCTAGATGTGCGCTATCTTCTTCTTGTACTTCACCTCCAAAGAACCACCACCACCCGCTTCGTCTATAATTTTCTGACAAGATGGTGGATTCGGACGGTGGAAGGTGGGTCGTTCACTTTGCTTTGATATCTTTTCTGTTCTTTCCAAAAACCAGAATTTGATTGAAACCCTCGTCTTCTTCCATCGCACACCAAGAAAGATAAGATCTTGCAGTAATGCCAAAAATTCCACTTGGGATTTACCGAAACTGCCAAGAATAAGCTTCCTCTTCACCTTTAACTCCAAAAAAACTCGTGTCCTCTCCTCGCTTGCTACCTTTTCTTTCTATCAGATGCTTAAAGTTAGCACGATTCCAATTGAAGCAATTCAAGACTATAATGTTTTCACATCTATACAGAGATCCGGGATGAACACACACATACAAATCGATTTCTAGAAAAAAAAACATACACATACACACAGTGAAAACAATGAAAACCTAAGTGAAATCGGATGTAGAAATCGACCAAATCGGACATAGAAATCGACCAACCGGATCCATCTTGATAGAAACTCTTAACTTTTTCAATTTCCTCAAAAAGATCACCATGATTCGAGCTCTTTATGTCTTCATTTTCGTCACCGGTGACGATGAACCAAAAGAAAGGGGTCTTGATATAGAAAGAGGGTACGTAAGAGGGAAAGGGAGGGAGAGATAGAGAGATAAAGATAGAGAGAGAGAGCTTTTTGTTTTTTAATTATATTTACTTTTTCCTTTTTTTTAAAAAATAGCTGAAAACATCATAAATGGTCCCTGTGGTGTAAAATGACGAAAATGCCCTTCAATTAACGGAAAAAAGTTAACGGAGTTAGCAATAAGGACCAATCGTCAAAAGTTTTGAAAACATAGGGACCATCTATGAGGTTTTTAAACCATAAGGACTAAACTTCAGATTTTGGGTAACCACAGGGACCATTTATGATGTTTTTTCTTTAATTATTTTGTTTGTTTTGATGATTTTTAAAACATAAAATTCGACTCTATTTGTTATCTAACCAAAAAACTATTTTTATAGAGTAAATTACACGAATGGTCCCTATGGTTTGGGGTAATTTGCGTGCCTGGTCCCTAACTTATTTTTTTAACTCGGAAGGTCCCTATGGTTTGTTTTTGTTACGCGTTTGGTCCCTAATGTCTATTTTTGTTACGCGTTTGGTCCCTATCTTATCTTAAAAGACTATTATTTAAAGAGGAAAAAATGATGTGGTAGGTGAGGTAAGGTGAGAGGGTGGGATTAGGGGTGTGTTTATTTAGATAAATTAAAAAAATCAAAGGCATAATAGTCTTTTTAGGTAAGATAGGGACCAACCGCGTAACAAAAACAAACAATAGGGACCTTCCGAATTAAAAAAATAAATTAGGGACCAAACGTTCAAATTACCCTAAACCATAAGGATCATTCGTGTAATTTACTCATTTTTATATGAAATGGTATGGGCGGAACACAACCCTTGTAACTAGGGGGCCAAAACAAAGATTATATTAACAAAATTGTAGATTATGTTCTCTTTTCAAATTAGATTGATATTTAAAAGAAGATTGCTTTACATAATATTTATGAATGAATTTAAATTTTCTAACTAAATTATAAATTGAAAAAAAGGCTAACGGGCGCATTGCTGCCCAGTTGTCTATTATGTTATATATATCAAGAGAAAATTTAAAGTATACCTTTTATTTACACAACATGACATAAAGTATTGTTTATACGTCAATAGATTTAAAATATTAAAATGACATATTGCGAAATTATCCTATATTAAATTTTTATGGGAATTATAATAAAAAACGTGTAATTAAAATATTTAAACAAATCTATTAATCTACGTATACGATTATCGAGAATAGTATCTTTAATTTATATATAAACATAAGTTATTAGGATATGGAATTGTAATTTAACAATAAATTTATAAAAATAAAAATAAATAAATAAGTAGGAAAAACACAAGTACCCATGTATTGGGGCAGAATGTTTTCTTTTTTCTTTTAAAACCCTAGGATAATACTAGAAAAGATACATCAATTTATCTCCATTTTTTGGAGTGTTTTCCTTCAATTGACCAACAATGAGACAAGAAAGATGGAAAGAGGTGAAGCCAGAGAAGCAAATCAACATCAGAGAGGCAAGATAACACCGGATATACAAAGCATCAACGCCGCCAAGGCATGAAGGTTTAGCCACGATGGAGAGTTGAAGCAACAACGGTGCTATAGTGGCAATTTAGTTTTTTTTTTTTTTAACTTTTCCTTATTGTTTTTCAGTTCTTCACAGAGTTGTCAACTTTCTTCTCAATTTTCTTGTAATGTTATATGTTTAGAATCAGATTTGCTTCATACATCGCTAATTAGTATGCTAAAAAACGGGGGGGGGGGGGGGGGGGGGGGGCATGGCCTCCCCTGGCCCCTTAAAGGATCCGCCACTGGGTATCACGACAACTCAGTAAACTTTGATTTGGAGGTATATCGTCATTGAAACTTTGATCGACTTTGGGCGTGTTTGGCTGTTAGCTGTTAGCGGATAACTGGTAGCTGATAGTGGGTAACTGGTAGCGGGAAGCTGTAACTTTTATTTCTTATATGAGTGTTTGGTAAAAATAGTTGGAAGCTTTTGAAATATATAAAATTACATAAAAGGACAATTGATTAAAAATAAATAAAAATATAAATATATTTTTAAGGGTAATCAGAGAAAGTGATTTCAAAAACTCGGTAACGTTTTGTTAAACGCTACATGAAGTAGCGGGAAGTTATAACTTTTATTTGTTATATGAGTGTTTAATAAAAATAACTGGAAGCTTTTGAAATATATAAAATTACATAAAAGGAAAATTGATTAAAAATAAATAAATATATTTTTAAGAGTAATTATGAAAATTGATTTCAAAAACCTAGTATCATTTTGTTAAACGCTACATGAAGTTGCTTTTAGATTTGAATGTTTTGTTTAAACTAAAAGCTAAACGTTCGTACTACCAAACAAAACTTTTTGTTTAATTAAACTAGAACGTTTTGTCAAAAGCTAAAAGCTAGAAGCTCCCAAATACTTCTAAAAGCTTCGGGCCAAACACGTAATATCAAAGGATGGTCGGCTATAGTGGAAATACACTGTCATAATTAGTTACCTATATTAAAAAAAAACGCAAATTAGAAAAGTTATAAAAAATTAACAAACTATTTGCAAATTTAAAAAGAAAATTCATTTGATAAGTAGAGTCGTAAATGAACTGAACGAAAATGAACGTTCATGTTTATTTAAGTTAGTCGAACAAATAAACGGATAAACAAACAAGTGAAACGGATAAACAAACAAGTGAATTAAGAGTAGCATAGTGAATTAAGTGTTAGTTTAAGAGTATATTATATATCTATATTTGACGGTTCAAAAAAAAAAAAAAAGACAAACAAACAAGTTTTCTTATGATTATTCATATTCGTTCGTTTAACAAATTATTTTGTTCGTTCGTTTGTGGCCGTGAACATGCTAAACAAATATAAACGAACAAAGATAAACAAATACAATTAACATATATGAACATAAACAAACATATAATATAGTAATATAATAAAAAATAATTGAACATATATAAACATAAATAAACTTAAGCGAACCGACATAAATAAACGAACGGGACAATTGTTCATGTTCGTTCGTTTAACTAAACAAACATAAACGAACTTCGTATTTAACTATTCATGCCGAACAGCCAGTTCGTTTACAACCCTAAATTTAATAGGTTTAAGTTTTTCAAACTTGAAATGTTTGTTTAAAACCACCCAGGAACCTGTAAACCTAAAACGACTACTTCAAAATTAAGACTTGATTGACTTAATAATATATAGTATTATTTTTTCTACATTCAACTTGGCCTTGTTATTTTGGTAAGTTAAATGATTTATATGTGATTATTATCTACGACACCAAATTAGACCAAATTAGTTGGTCAAAATTTTGTTTTCAATAATTTATTATTATTATTATTATTATTATTATTATTATTTTCAGCTCTAAAATGAATAAAGAATAAAAATAGTGATATTGTCAGGGAACGATATTATTTGAATACGTCCTAAATGATCATATTTTCATATCCATATTGTTAGAAAACTACATCGTTTCAAATTCTTTTGATTTTTCAAATCTTTATCTTGAAATAAAAAGGTGTGGAAGTTCATTTAAGAGTGTATTTATCCAAAGAATCACAATGAAGCCGAAAATAATCTTTTCAATTATGAATATATATTTGCTGGACACCGAAGCTTGTTGATACTCTCATCCTCGTAACAAATCCTATAAGTGCACTATAATTGCATGTTTTCCATGATTTCATTTGACACACTATGGGCGTGTTTGGCATGGAGCTTTTGAAAGCGTTTGGAAGCTTCTAGTTTTTAGCTTTTGACAAAACGCTCTAGTTTAAACAAAAAGCTTCGTTTGACAGTACGAGCGTTTAGCTTTTAGTTTTAACAAAACGCTCCGATTCTACAAGCTACTTCATGTAGCTTTTAACAAAACGCTCCGGAGCTTTTGAAATCAATTTCCATAATTACCCTTAAAAATATATTTATATATATATTTTATTTTTAATAAATTGTCCTTTTATGTACTTTTATATATTTCAAAAGCTTCCAGCTACTTTTGTCAAACATTCATATAACAAATAAAAGCTACAATTTTCCGCTACCAGCTACCAGCTACACGCTACCAGCTACCCGCTACCAGCTAATCGCTACCCGCTTCCAGCTAACACTACTTTTACCAAACACGCCCTATGATTTATTACCTTACAAATTGGTATCTACATCAATTTATTTCAATTCTTTCATGTAACTAATGATATACAAATAAAATTATTTAGAGAGTTGGTGATCAACCTAGAAAAAGTCATCTCTGCATATCCCCAATTTGCTAGGTTACGAGGCATCTATCATCACAATTCACAACCGTTGATACATGGTTCAGAGTTTCAATATGAATTCAAAATACGATTTGAAAGATCATATATGGCTCTGGTTATATCGTTTCAAATGTTTTGCATTAATATACTCTTGAATGGTTAGATGAAAGTTATATCGACTTTTTTGGATCAATACACTAAATAGTCTTCTTATCCTAAATAGGTAAAAAGATAAGTTACATATTGATCTTTCATAAGATCATTACATTTTTAATAGTTTGTTACTGATGAGAAACACCATACACCGTATATATTAGGCATTGATGGATGGTTAATAAAACCAAGATCATGTTAACCTGTTTTTAATTAATGAATACTTTAAAAATTAACTAACTCCATAACTAATTCTAGAAATAAGCTCATATTCAATCTATTCGAATGTCTAAAGTTTAATTAATAAATTGTCTACGTCATCATACTAATTTACCTTTTGAATTTTAGAATTTATTTAAATCTTCAATTCTGCTGCTCCAAAAAAAAAACTTTTCAAACATTATGTTAATTAAACTCTATCACAATTACATAAGTAAAATACATAATAATTTTAGCATCTTAGTATATGCTCCAATCACTTCGTATAAATAGTCAAATCATAATGGGTACACATACTCATTCACTCACATAAAAGGGTATATGAAGCAATTGAAAAAATAGTATAGAATTGAATCAGCCTAATTTGAAGTGTATGATAGCTAAAAAGTAAAATAGGCTAAAATCATTGCCGTTGATATGGATGATTTTGTCTAACAACCAACCAAATTTTATTAAAATAATAGATATAGTTTTTAAGTATTTTGATAAAATTTTCTTTATTGATAATATGGATCATATCTCTAAACTACAAAACTCCTATGAAATGTAAAAAAATCTGTCCTTCATATATTCAATACCACCTCAACAACCATTGTGACAACTCAACAATGCATCATCTCATAAAACCAGCAAACGTCTCAAATAAATTTGGGACGGTTTAGTATGAGCTAAGTTAATTAATTAATAAAGACTTAGTTTAACATCATCAACCACGTGCTAAAATCTAAATATTAGTGCTGTAAAAAAACAATTAACAGTTGAATTTTCGATTAACCGTCTGTATCGAAAAAAGCCTTATTGTAACCGATTGAAAAAACCGAAGTTCTACTATAGTTTCATTAACCAAATCCCTAAAAAAAGCCAAAAAAAACTGGTTCCATTGATTGGCTTTTTGTTGAAAATATGGGTTAATTAATGATCGAAGATCAAAATGAACTTGGACAATTCTCGAATTATGTACATATGTTTTCTTAAATCTATAACTTCGACTCTACTGCTTGAGTTACATGCATGAAACCATGTTTGGGATAATCCTCGATTTATGGCAAAAATAGCGATACAAAACATAGATGTTATTTTGTGTTTTCGAGACAATTAATAATTTGTAGAGAAAATGTAGATGAAGAGTTAACCTCTGCCAAACGGAAAAACCTGTATAATATAGATATCCGACATTTAATGGCGGGAAAAGTTGTGCCTTTTGGGAACAAACACGTGCACTCCACACCTCCCAAACTCACAATATAGTATAGACTAAGTTCACCATGTCTCAAATTACTTCCCATCACACTAATTAAATAGTTTGATGACACTACAATCATCGATACTTTTTGGTTTCAGATATACACTCCTAGTACAAATGTGTTATATATAAAGCATAAAGAAATGAAAAACCACGCAGCATTTTTAGGAGTTTTAGGAATTACGATTGGAATGCTTGCTTAATTTGTATACTATTAAACTTCATCTTCCTACATATTACTACATGACTTATGTTCCGGGTGATAGACTTCTTGAACCATCATACTTATCTTTTAGTCATAACCTAACCACTGTTCTTGAGAAAGAACACTTATAGTTTACAAGAATGAGTGGCTTTGTACAAATGTAACGAAAAAGAAAACCATTAATTAAAGTCGGTATCTTTTGTCCAAAGTCGTTCATTCATGCAAAGTGTAATGTTTCATGAGGTTTTTAGCAAGAACAATGGTTCAAAAAGTCGGGAAACATAAGGTGAAGAATATTTACGTGAGGTTTAGTTATGGAGAGGGTTGGGTCCCCCAGGAACTAGTCTCTTCTCCATGCCAAATCTTGTATCCTTCTCTTCAGATAGATTCTTGAACAGCAGTCGACATCGTAGGTAATAGCAATTAGACATGGTAGATGTTCTTGAACCTTGAGGATGGTGGTTGTGGTTGCCTTCACGGTGGTTCACCGGAGCTTGAAACGTCGTTGCAATGAGGCAGCATAGATAGGCAGCCGCTAGAACCTGATGGCCGGAAAATGAGGTCTTCATGGTGGTGGTGGTGGTAATGGTGTCTGTGACGAATATATATGTATATACAAGGTATCCATAAATAAGTTGTTTTGGGTTGTTACGCATTTAATGAATGAATCAAAGGTATTTAGTATGTGTGACATTTCGGGATCCATGGAATTTGTCAGGCTGAGGTGGTTTGTTTACAATAATACGACCAAAGAGGCTATGGTCCAAAGCTTACAGATATACTTAATTCGTATGTTTGTTCTAAAATGGTAATTTCTGCAGCATATTGAATTGTAGGCAGAAGGCCCCGGGTTTGGGTTGGGAGATGGAATTCTCAATTCTGTATAAAGAATTTTATTGTAATCTCAGCAGTACCTTTCCTGGGTTGCTCAAACTAGAACTCATTCATGATGTTACATGACAAAAAAAAAGACTCATCTACTGTACAACTCCTTTTAAACAATGTACAACTACCCAAGCTTGACAACTGGATATACAAACTCAAATATTAATCTTCTTTTTTTGACTTTTTGGGATAAGAGACCCACGTCTCATTTCTTTATTCACTTAATGGTTGAAAGGAAAAAAAAAAAAAAAAAATAGAAGGGAAAACAGGGAAATATTGGTCACTGTCTTAATACATTAACTCGTGTTTTTTATGGCTTAACCCATTAAATATCGGGATTAAGTAAAAAAGAAAGTCGTGTGTATAGCTGTCCATATTAAGCTCGTTAAGTAAAAAAGACAGTACCTTAGCGGGAAAAATGTAATCTTTTAAGATAATATGTTTGTTTCTTGTTTACTTAATGTAAAAAAAAAAAAAAGAGTTGAAGAATTGAGGTTCTTCCCGAGTCCTAATTTATTTTACAATCTTGGCCTCATATCTGTCATTTTCTTAGATATATTTAAACATTATTTATTGAAACGATATTTAAGGGAAAAAAACACAGGTTTAGTCATTGATATGGTGCAGGTATAATGAGTGATGAGGATGACAGTTCATAGTGTCAATAGCTAATTCGCTATTGCAAGCGAAGCATTTAATGCTACTCTCTGCATAGCAACTGGTCCTAAAGATGGATGTGGGACTGGGTTAGGTTAAGGCATGCATTGCTCTGTGTGTGTTCTAAAGTTGGACACAAGGCCACCACTTTTCTAATAACAAAAGATGAAGACTTTTTCAATTATTATATGATTATTACAATTTCAAATCCACATAATATAATAATGAGTCTTTCAATCTTTAGAAACAACACTACAGTCAATACTCAATTTCCATAACATCATGTGTAAAAGGATGTTTGATGTAGAGACTCTTATATTCACCCAAAGGTAAAGTCGTTGCTTCCATAATTCCTTATTCCTAGTTATGATTATCTAATTATGTACCACATTCTGCCTTATTTATTAAAGGTTAAAATAAAAAATAATCAGTTTTAATCAACCAAACTCATCATATAACCTTATCTAACGCTTATTTTATTTGTTTATTTTTTCCTTGAACAATTAGAACATGTAAAACGCATTAAATGAGATACATAAACAATATATGGCTAGTAAAAGAATTCCAATGGGCATAATAATCATGTGCAAACCTTGTAACATGAAACACATCATACAAAAAGGTAACAAAATAACAGAAATGTATTGGATTTATTTTCCAAGCAAATGTCGAGCACGTTGATTAACACCTTTAACTCTGAAATTAAGTTCGTCCACATCATCTTGAAGAGGATCCAGAGCTTTGTTTTGTCTGCACAAAATTAAATTTTATTTTCAGGAAATCAAGTAACAAAAATTAACACAAACTTTTAAAATCTATAGACTTGAAATTAAATTTAAAAAAAGAAAAAGAAAAAAACAAACCTTTCGATCTCTGAACCCATGTCAACAGCCATTTCCTTAAGTTCCCCAAGTATGTTACTTAAATCCGAGAGGGCATCATCTTGCTTTGTTATCTCATACTGTTTAAATCACAAATTAATTATTAGAATTCAAAACCTAAAAAACAAGTTTTTGATAATTTTTTTCTTTTCTTTTTACTTAATGAATGTCTATCTAGAGTAAGTGCTGTATAAACAAAAACTTTTCTTTTTGGGCCGAATGAATATGGAAACAATGACCATTTTACCCTTCTGTCTAGAAGTGATGCTGAATAAATAACAGAAATTTTTATGATTCTAATATGAATGACATCAAATGCATAGTTGGAATCCTTTTGTTTTTTTGTTTACAATTGCATGATATTTTTTATACTATTTGGATATATGTCAAAGGTTTTTTTGGTAGATTACTAGATTATCATGAAGATTAATAGATGAATAACTACCTTTTGTTTTCATTTTTCATCGTTATTTCATACTACATAAGTGTTCTCAAATCTCAACCATAATTTTCTAAATCCTTATAACTTATTATTATTATCTTTTAAAAACAAGGTAGATAATAAATTTTAAAAGAAATAAAAAAAAGCAGAGTTTGCTGAAAGGGTAGCAACATAGAAAATGTGGTCTTAATGGATAAAGTCACCCATTAAGAATGACTTAATATAGAAAGTAAGGAAAAAGTCCTAACTTTTTACAAATTTGCCCTTATTTAGTTTCTTCTTCAAATTCCTCAAGTGTGTCTTCTTTTTCTCAAATATTTTTTAAATAAGATTTATCAAGACAACACTTAATTAGAAAAAGAAAGAAACAAGATCTTAACATACCTCAACTTTCTGCAATGCATTTGTAGGTTCAGAGGGTGGTGTTCTTGAATGTGATTGTCCTTTAGTTTGGGTGGTTGAAAGTCCAAGTTTTTCTCTTTGTTCCAAATGGGCACCTTTTCGAAGGGCAGGATCATCTAAAAATCACAAAACTTTAATAAAAAAACTGTACAAAAAGATCACAAAACAAAATCTCTAATCTTTAAAAAAAAACACATCAACATAAAGTATTCTATCTTTATCACCTCTTGTCATCACAGGCCCTTTTATTGCATGACCCTTCTTAGGTTTCCATGTCCTAGAGAAAATGCCCCCAAGACTTCCTAACAGCTTCTCACCCTGCATCACAAAGTATAACTTCAAAATCCATCTAGGGTTTTTGGTGATGAAGATGAGGAGGGCATTCATGTCTTTTGCATAAACAATAACAGTAATAGTGAGAAAAGAGTGATACCCTGCTAAGATCTTGTTCTATATCAGCTGCAGTCATGTGAGTCCGAGTAATCTGCTCACCCTGTTGATGCAAAGTGATCATAGTTTTAGTAGCATCTTCTCTTATGTTTTCTGCAATCTTTAAGGCACTATGCACAGTTTTTGTAGTCTCTTCAGCCTTATATGCAGCATATTGTTCTAGTTCTTGTACATCTTGGTTCTCAATTCCACCAGAATCAACAAAATCATTCTTATACTTGTTTCTTGATGCATAACTGAGTTTGTATCCTGATCCTTTAACTTTATCATCATCATCATCAAAAAGAGCAGCTCGGGAATCTTGGGTTAGAACAGAAGGTTCGGATGAAGTTCTCCTTGCAGGATTTGGTGTTGACTTTTTGTCAATTTCATCATCGGAATCGAATGGGTTTGAAGCATGTTGACCAGGGAATCCAGGGTCAACTGAGTTGTGTTTGGTAGGTCTATGGAAATGAGGTTTCTTGATCCCAAACATGGTGGATCTTGTTATATAGATTTTGCAGGGTTTTAGTTAGGAAAGAATCACACGATGTTCCTGGAAAAACAAAAATCATATTAGAAATTAGATGGTAGTTTTGAAGTGAAACTTTTTGAAAATATCACCAAGAATCATGATATTTTTGTGAAATTATTCAATCACAGAGAGAAGAAAATAGTGGTTTTTTTCAAATTTTATAATACTGTTGATATATTGTGCACTCCTACATTTCAAATTAAGTGCACCGAACTCTGAATTGCTCTGATTTATCAGACATCAGTTAGCCAAATACAACAAGCAACAAGAACAACAAATCCGTGGGGGTAAAATAAAAGAAAATCAAAAATTCCCAAATTTTTAGGTCATTCAAGTACATCAAGTAAATCAAAGCAAAATAAAATCAGCAAAAGAAGCGAAGCCCATATGAATTAATAACAAAATAGCAAGAACACTGGGCAGAAACTGATTATAGTAATTCTTTATGATTTGGTATGTTCTAGAAACTAGAAGTCGAACGTTAAACCTAAACAACATGAAAAACAGGGTGGATACACCCATTTGAGAAATCAAGGAAGGAGACAAAACCAACATGAATTAAGAACACATTTACTGCAAAAAATAATTTCAGAAACTGATTGTATGGATCGTATGCGAGATGGGTGTGTTGAAAAAGTAAAAAATATAAACTAACAAACACAAGAAATATATGAAACCGGTGAATTTGAGGAGTAGTACCTGAGATTCTTGAACAAGAAGAGACAACCTTCGATTCGGGGGATGCGAGAGGAGATATTGTGGCGGCTAAAGAGATAATATCTAAATGAATTGAAACTGAAAGGGGGAGAAACGGAATTTAAAGCAATTTGGCAAATGGGGAAAATTGAATACTAAAGAATAGTTCAAGGAAAAGTCTACGATGGATGTCGTTGAAAATTGGATGGGAGTAAGATGGTGATCGATGTCTGGAAGAATTGAAGAGATCAAACTTCAAAGAGGATATAGCATGGAAGAGAGGACAAGCGCGTAAGATCGTGGACTTTGAATTGGACTTCACCTTCACTTGATTTTGAATTCAAGTACTGTGCAAATTGATTTATCTAATATAAAAATAAACTTTACCATAGTTTTGTTACTTTTGTGACTTTGTGTTGTATTTTCGGAAGTTCACATTTGATACTTGAACCAACGATTTGTAGTATAACGGTATGTCCTTGGTAAATGGTAATAGGTTGAAGGAAGTCTAACTATGAACCAAAAGTGTAGTTTTTAAATTTTTTTTTTAATATTAAATATATGTACATAACTATGGAAGACAGACATACAATAAGTTGAAGACAAAATTGCAAAAATGGTCCCTGTGGTATGTAAATTTTTGGGGTTTTAGTCCAAACCTCGAGTTTTTTGGAACCATAGTCCTTTTGGAGTGGTTTCTATGTGGTTTTGGTCCCTGACTTAACTCCCGTTAAGTTGGAACTGTTAAGCCCCCCTCACGTGCCTCACACGTGAGGGTAATTTCGTCATTTCATATGTCAGGGACCATTTTTGCATAAACGTTTTTTTTGGATTAATTGACATTTACCCCTCATTTACTTTCCCCAACACTCGTCAACTCCCCAACTCCCTCCTTCTTGCTTCTGCTCCATTGAACCTGCAAAAAACCCTCGTTGCTTATCCAAACAAGATAATCGACACTACACATATAAGGGCATACGTTTAATACGAAATGGTGTTCGTAATGTGGCATATCAGACCAAAATGCGAAGTTGTTGATGTATCAACTGTATATGGTAAGTTGCTCTGTTTTCTTTAACTTTTATACTTTGCATTTTCTTATTGATTTAGAACAAAAAAATGCAAAATTTTAACTTTGTTAATATGTATAATTTTGATTTTTAGCTGGTGCACCCACATGGTTTAGTATTAAGCTTCATCACGGTGGGAAATTTACTAAATTACCTGATATAAAGTACATTGGAGGTGAAGTGCGTTATGTTGATTATCTGGACATTGATGAGTTTTCTGTGCATGAACTTGATGCCATAATGCTTGACCTAGGTTACCCAGACCCATGAAATTTTGAATTCGCTGATGAATCCCCAGTTATATACTACCATTTTAGGATACCCAATGGTGACTTTCAATTTGGTCTTAGAGCTTTAGGGAATGATCAGGATGTGATCAACCTTTCTAAATACATTGCACATAACAAGCTGATTGAGGTGTACACAGAGCATGGAAAGACAAATTTATTGACTTACTTCATGTCACCAAATGCAAAGGGTAAAGTTGTCATTGAGGAATTACCAGAAAATGATGATCAAGGGGCTGAAGTTGAGGGTCAAGTTCATGCAGATTCTCCAATGAAAAATGTGAACCATGGTAATGGTGAGCCTATTGGTGAGTTCATGTCTCTGATTCTTTTTGGGAGTAAGAATGATAGTTTCTCACCAGAGTATAGAAGGGGTAGGGTTGGGAATTCCAAAATAGGTGAAAGTTCTTGTAGCAAAAGGCTTAATTTAGATTATATTGATGAGGTTGTTCACATTTCAAAGGAAAAGAATGATGATCTGGATGGTTCAACTAATGTTCAGGAGGCAGCAACTTGTGTTCATATTGATGAGATGGATGGTGTTAGGGAGGCTGCAAATGTTGTTCAAGAGGCATCAACTTTTGATGAAGAAGGCTACAACACCCCCCTGTTAATAATGCTGATGAACAATTGAATGAGTTATTTGATAACCTTATGGAAAATTTGATTGGGAGTGATGATGATAATGCAGAGTATGAAGGGGATGGAGAATCTGAAGAGGGTAATCAAGAGTATGAAGAGGATGATGAATCTCAAGAAAGTGATCCAAATTTTGAAGAGTATGATGAATCTGAAAATAGTGATCCAGAGTATGAAGAAGATGAGAGACAAATAGAAGATGAAGATCATATGGATGACATAATGGATGTTGACAACAATATACAGGATGTGGATGTGGACATGGGAGACTTCACTCTCAATGTTGAAAGTGATGTGGAAGGTTCTTGTATAAATGTTGTTCATGGGCATGAACCTGAAGATATGGAAGTGATTAACAATGAGGAATTTGAATCTTTGGATGAAGGATCCGACCAAGACAGAGAGAGAAGAGCTCTTATCAAGAATTTGAGAAAAGAAAAAAGGTGCAGTCTTGGGGTAGTACATAAACAATCTTTTTCAGTTGGAGATAAATTTAATAGTAAAAAAGAATTAAAGGAGGCAATTGATCTGCATGCACTAGAATCAAGAAGGAATCTTTTCTTTAAAAAAAATGACAATGTAAGGCTTAGGGCACAGTGTAGAGGTGTTGTACCTGTCACCAATAAAGGCCAAGTGGGTAGTCAAGCTACCACTTCAAAAAGAAAGGGTAAAGAATTAAAGACACAAAAAGTAACATGTGGTTGGTACATTCATGCATCTAGGTCAAATCCTGAATCCGACTGGTTTATAAGGACCTTAAACCAAACTCACACATGTTTGCAAACAAGGAAACTCAGGGCTTGTACTGCTTCTTTAATCAGCAAGAAAATCTTTGATCAAGTTGAGGCGAATCCAGATATACCTTTGAGAGCTATACAAGATCACTTTCAAAAGACCTACCAAGTGGGTGTTAGTATGGACAAGGTGTTCAGGGCAAAGGATAAGGCAAGAAAGCATGTAACTGGTGACTACACAAAGCAGTATGAACTGTTGAGGGACTATGTTCTCGAACTTCAAGCCACCAACCCAGACACCACAGTGAAAATAGATGTATGTTCTGAGCCTAACCCTGATTCCCCAACTAGGCAGTTTAGAAGAATTTATGTGTGCTTGGGTCCACTGAAAAAAGGGTTCAAGGCATGCCTTAGGGACTTATTAGGTTTTGATGGTGCCTTCATGAAAGGACCATTCCCTGGGCAAGTCCTTTCAGCAGTTGGTCTTGATTCCAATAATGGAATTTACCCATTAGCATATGGGATTGTTGAGTCTGAAAACACAGAAAGCTGGAAATGGTTTTTAGATAACCTTGGGGATGACTTGGACCTTGGAAGAAACTCAAATTTTACTTTCATAAGTGACAGGCAAAAGGTAAAGTTGGAAGTAGTTTTTATACATTTGGTCATTTAAAGTGTGGTTGTAAGTTAATTCTAATGATTGAAAATTAATTTTTGCAGGGTTTACATACTGCAGTTGAGCAAATTTTTCCCAATGCTGAGCATAGATATTGTATCAGACATATTCATGACAATATGAGGAAAAGATGGAGGCAAACAGAGTACAGGGACCACTTATGGAGGTGTGCATCAGCTACCACCATTCCTGAGTTTGAACATTTGATGAAGGAGTTTAGTCAGTATGATAAGGAGGCATGTGAATGGTTGAAGCAAATTCCTCCTAAACATTGGGCAAGGAGTCATTTTTCAGGTAAATCTATATATTCCAATTTGGTCCTTATGTCTTTCACTTAGTGAACTGTTTTACTTGTATGTGACTTGTATTAAATGTTTTTTAATTGTAATTTACACACAGGAAGAGCAGTTTCTGATGTGTTGATATCAAACATGTGTGAAGTGTTTAATGGGAAGATAGAGAAAGGAAGGGATAAACCTGTCATTGGATGTTTAGAATTCATAAGGGAGTATCTAATGAAGAGGATATGCAATGTCATGAAGGAAATGAAAAAGGCTAAAGGTCCACTAACACCCACAGCAACAGACATCCTAGCTGCAAGAAAAACAGTTGCTTCACAATACATTGCTAGGTGGAATGGGGGAGACAAGTATCAAGTCACAGGAGCTTTGCAGGATCAACATGTGGTTGATGTTAGGAACAAAACATGCACTTGCAGAAAATGGGAATTAATTGGAATTCCATGCAGACATGCAATTGCAACTCTGAATGAGATGAGTAAAGACCCAGAGGCTGAGCTTGACATTTACAAATGGGTTCACAAGGTGTATTTTCTAGAGACATGGAAAAAGGCTTATTCTTTTAAGGTGGAGCCAATTAAGGGTAGATCCATGTGGCCCAAAAGTGAATGTCCCACAAAGCTAATCCCTCCTCCACATCGCACTCAGGTGGGAAGGCCTAAGAAAAAGAGAAGACAAAGTGAGGGTGAAAGGTTAAGCAAAAAGCAGAAGGCAAGTCAAGGTGATGGAGTGAATGCTGCACAAGAAGGAGGTTCCCAAAAACCAACAAATGATGGAGTGCAGAAGCTATCAAGGAAGCATATCAGTGTTACTTGTAGCAAATGCAAGAACAAGGGACACAACTCTAGGACCTGTAAAGGGCAAGGTGGGAATCAATCCAAGAAGTAATGTGTCATGCATGCATGGAGTTTTCTGTGATTTTGGTTGGTTATGAAAACTTGGTTGTTATGTTTACAATATTTTGTTGAAAATTTTTGGTTGGTTGTTATGAAAACTTGGTTGTTATCTTAGGTATGGTAATGTGTCCCTTTTGGTAATGTTTAGAATCTTTGGTTGTTATGTTTAGAAACTTTGGTTGTTATATTACAAATCTTAATGAAATGTGCATTTTGGTTATGTACAATTGGTTCTAATATATATATTTTTGTAACACATTCATACCATTTCTATTCATATGTTAATTCTTATACATTCATACCATTTTGGTAAAACATTCATTACACTTGCATCATAAAATTGTACATATATCATTATCATCATAAGTCACTACAAACTTGATCACATAAAATTACAACAAAATGACCAAAACACCCTTCAGAGTATACCCCTACACAAACCAAATATAAAAGAATACAATCACAAAGAAAAACCAACTTCCAAACATGTACATTTTCAGCTTCAAATTATCATCCTTCAATGCTCTGACATTTGCCACCAAAATGTTGTTCTTGCATATCAGTCCATTGCATTGATCCTGTAGCATGTTCATACCTCTAACCAACTCATTGCACCGTTCCTGCACTGAATTCAAATTTCTTAGCAGACCAGGTATGATGGCTTTAGACCTAGCACACATTGGGGGATCAAGCCACCCAATAAACCCACAAACGGAATCATTCATAGGGCATGCAAAAAATCTCCTTCCTGGATTCAAAGGGGTCCAAGACGTTTTCACCACAACAACTTTTCCACAAAAACATAGCACCATTTTTGTTGTAGCAGAGCTCAAGAAGAAGAAGGGTAGAAGAAAAGAGACGTTGGGGAAGAAGATCGCAGGAAATGGGGGTATTTAAAAGGAATTAATCCAAAAAAACGTTTATGCAAAAATGGTCCCTGACATATGAAATGACGAAATTACCCTCACGTGTGAGGCACGTGAGGGGGGCTTAACAGTTCCAACTTAACGGGAGTTAAGTCCAGGGACCAAAACCACATAGAAACCACTCCAAAAGGACTATGGTTCCAAAAAACTCGTGGTTTGGACTAAAACCCCAAAATTTTGCATACCACAGGGACCATTTTTGCAATTTACTCTAAGTTGAATTGTTAGACCTTTTGGATGACAAAACTAATTCTTTTGAAGACAGCGTCCGTAAATCTAGAGGACATTACATTACTATGTATGACTCGTTTGACTCTGTTAAAAAGCTTCACCGCTTTTGTGCGACAAAACAAAAAGTATCAAATGCAAAAGTTATAAACATATTATTGGTTTTATATTTTTATTTATATTTTCCTATCAATTATATCATAATTTTATGGTAGGGAATATGATTTAATGGACCTTTTAATTGCATAGTTTATTGATGAGTTAATGATTTACAAGGCATGAACTTTATCTCGTATACATAGTTAGTCATTTATATATATTTTTCTATATATTTTACCATCAAAATTGTTTACCATGTTAAAAAAACATTATTATCACATGATAGTGTAAGTTTAGTCGGTTTCCAATTTCGACATCTTTGATGAGTCTCTAGTCATCTTCTTAAATCCATAAATCGAGCTTCATGTCCACAGAGTTCAAATTTCAAAAACTTAGAAATCAAGGTTCAAAAACTCAAAAATTGAGCTTCAAAAATTTAGAAATTAAGCTTCAAAAAACACAGAAATCGACGTTACAAAGAACTCTTATATTGGTTGTTGGTTTTGTGTTCTTAGTCTGATACACACACATTCTGTAACTTCCTGTTTCCTAGAATAGATCGGTTGAAGGTCTGGAAGGATTAAAGGTAAGGTTTTTGGAAAAGACATTGTGTTATGACGTGCCGAATGGAGCACCACGTCGTGGCATGTCAAATACATTAATGCGCATTCATGTGTTTACCATGACGTGGCAAGGGAAGGCCACGAATTGGCATCAATTGCACCAAGCCTATGATCTTTTCGGGTTTCCTCCATATTTAAGCCCTAAGACTCAAGGTTTAGGGCATCCTCTTCAACCTCCATCCCTTCCAAACGAAACCCTAGCCTCCTTGAAGCTTTGAGAGCTTATTCTTTTGATTTGAAGCTTAGTTCTTAGTCTTTGGTGGAGCTTGAAGAAAAAGGAAGATTATCTTGTTGTAAGGGAGCAGGAACTTGCTTGGATCCACCATCTACTTCAACTTTTTGAGTGAATGAAGGTATAAAGTTCTCATCTTGACTTATGTTCTTCTTAGTACAAGTTTGATACCTTTTATAAGGTATTGGTCCCTTCCTCGGATGCTCTTGGAGTTTGAAGAACACCAAAGTTTGTGATGGATTTTCTCTGACATTAGACTTCTATGGAATAAGAAAAAAGACC